GGTCACCAGTGAAGGATTTCGTGTTATGCTCTACTAAAAATGTGGGGCTTTTTTGCAGCTTAAATAAAAATCAATTTGGAAACATTTGTTTTTTAGCTTCTTGTTAATTCTTTCTCTTTCTTGATGATATTTTTCTTCAATATTAAGGCTTTCCTGAAAAGACTGGAAGCAGTGAAACCAACAGCTGGTTTGAGACGTTCTGAACAGTTGAAGGATTATCAGCGCCAGATGAGCTATCTGAGTTCTTCACCTTCTGTAAGAAGAGGAAAATCTGCTTTCAGCCAGCTTAGTCCTTCCAGTGAGTGCTTTGAAGTTGCAGATTCCTGCATTTCTTTGCATTTGTTACATCTTTTTATGATGAAGAATTGTGAAGCACTTACAGCTAAGAATGACAAATAAGTTCCTTTTTTCTGTCTCCTTAGACTGATTATTTATCACACAGAAATCATTAAACTAATATTTTTTAATCATACCAAACGTATGAATTGTTTCCTTAGGATCCTAAATTTCTAATAAATTTATCTTGTTCATAATCTTTTCCAAGAAGGTTAAAAAATCAATTTTGTAAAGAAGTATTCCTCATTTTACCAGTACCTTTATTAAAAGGAGAAGAGAAATAGCCTTGTATCTCTTAGAAACTGTGTGTGATATTTGGAAGTAGATCATGTATTCCCGTAGAGCCATATATGTCAGGCTAAAGAACCAAAACACTATGGTATAGACTTGAATTCTGTGTCCTGACTATTTACAAACAACTCTTAACATTTTGGGTTTATATTCAACTTACTGGGATTTGCTTTATTTAGGAAACTGTAGTAATAAGTGTTGCAGTACTAACACAGCATGAGATTTTCTCTTCTACCAAGCATAAGCATTCTCTCTCCTTTTGTGTGTGTGTGTGTGATAACAGGAGGCACTTCAAGAGCAACCACTGTACCAAGTACGATGAGCCAGAGGAGTGAAAAACCCATGTCTGACTCAGCCAGTGGGGCATTACAGAGACCTAAGCCCACGAATGTCCGCGCTGCTTGGCTATAAGTGTGTTCTTTGCCTCGTGTTCTGAGATCAGCCTCAGACTTCTGCTTTTAGTGCTTCTGTAAATTCAATGGGCAAAACTATTTTCTTCATTGTTCAGTGATTAAAATATGTTGCATATGAGATAATTGCTTATAAAATGGTTTTAATTGAACGGTTTCATTTCAGTCAGTGTTTTCCATGACAGGAAGCATTTATGAAAGAGGATGAGGAATTTAAATGGAGCAGCTAAATAAAAATTGCTAATTTTTGTTCTCAAATCATAACTGGAACTTGTATCCATAACATGGAAGGACAGAATTGCTGCACTATAGGCACAAGATGTAAAGAAAATCTTTAAAATAATATTTTAAAATATTGCATTAAATTAATATGCTTAATTCCTAGATCATTGTTGCTTTTCATCCTGGGTTTAGAAAAGTAATTTTCTTATTACTTAAATAGTCTCTTTTTACAGCATGAAGAGGTGAAAAACAGATTGTGTATTCTTGCATGGATAGCTAGAATACTGTGGCTGCAGAAGATGATGTTCTGCCACTCTTGCACTCCAGGTATTGAACATTTGTACATTGAACATTGTTTTGTACTCAAGGCTGTGTCACATTCAGATTTAAGAATTTTGGAAGTTGTATTGGGATGTTTGTGTAGGAAGGAAGCATCTGATGCTATTTGAAAAAGAGTAAAGACTGAAGCAGTTTCAGATTAACTCTGAACAAGAGTAAGTTTTAGTTGCTTCTGAAGCTAGAAAATACCAAGCAAGTGACGTATTTCATGACCCTGCTTTTGCAGAACTGTGCCCTTCTCTGGGGGGAGATAAGAACTTGAACTGCAGGAAACTCAAACATCTGATTTTGAGAGCAACCAGAATTTTTAAAACAAGCAAACAAAAAAACCAAACCAAAACAACAGTAGAAAACAAAAAATCTTACTATGCTTCTTAACCTGTTTTTTTAATATAATGTGTATATCAAATATTTGTAGTAGTGTCAGAAAAGCTTCAGTAGCAACATCCATTTACAAGGAGAGCAAAATTTAATTGAATTGGTAATCACAAGTAGTAAGTGGTGTGCTTTATTTCTATACATGAAGGCAAACTTTCAATGACCTTATTTGGTAAGACTGCACTCTTAATAAAGGGTAGAAATTGTGATGCCACATTCTGTGGATATTGCTGGAACCCTGCTTGCTTCCCCACCTTCTTCCCAGAAGAGATACAGGAAATCACTTTGTATTTTGCATAAAGAAAGCTGTACTCAGTAATGGTGGGTCTTAATCCCATGAAAAGGACAATTTATTCTTTGCTTGTGCTTGCATGAGGGCTGCCTTTCAGGTATTCCGCATTGTAACAAACTTTTTACTCAGTCCTGTATGGTAGTTTGGCAGAGCTTCTGCACCTGGTGACCTGCAGATCAAATTTAGCTGTTTGACAATATTTGAACTTTTAACTTTAAGCAGCATTGTGGCAAAAAGGTTTTTTTATTGCTGTTATTATTAATTGATAGGGACAGTAAGGAATATTTTGCATAGTGTTGCTGTATTTATTTGTACTATTGTGCTGATAAAAATTATTCATTATTTAAATTTTTTGTCCTTGAATGTAAGTATGAAGGTCACAGTTTAAATACTTTTGAATGTTCATGTGTTTTTTTTCTGTAAAGGAATTCACCAAATGGTTTACTATTAATTGCTTCATCTTATTGTATTTAACTTTGGTATGAAAGACTGACCATTTTGTATGTCATTTTTGTAAATCATAAGAAATAAAATACTTAACATGAATTGCTTGTCATTGTGATGGCTTCTTTGAGAAATTTATAATTGGTATTAAAGTGCAAAGGCAGCCACGGAGAAGAGTTTTGTACTACATTTAGTGGCAGAAAATGGAAAGAATTGGATTATTCATTGATATGTTTTACCTTTGGTATGCATTTTAAAAAACAGGCTATATTGACAGGTCTTAATTTTATTTTCTCTCTTTTTTGCAAGCTGACACTCCATGTTCTCTTCTACTTCTGTCCCCCACACACACTCCAGAAGATCTCTTTGAAAAAAAAATGTGCAAGCTGCTTTTCTTCCTCCTTAAAGTGAAGTGCCATGCTGGATGAACAGTTTCAGGTGGGAACCAGTCTCCATGATGAAATGACAGGATTGGCAGTTTGGGTGGTAGCACTGGTTCAAGTAGCAACTGGAGATAATCTGTGAAGTCTTCCATTTTCCAGGTTTGTAGAGCTGATGGCTGGATTTTAGGTTACACTTTCAGCAAGTGTTACACTGTCTGTCAGGGACTTGGTACAGAGTTGCTTTCTGGCCAATGGTTATTTCATTGACAGCTTTGAACTCTGACCCCAGGTGTCTTTATTGAGAGTACTGTAGGGAATCTGCCATGGGGTGTGCACATGCATAAAAGCATTCCAGCAGAAATAAAGACCTCTTTTATGTATTTTCAGAACATAGTATTTTCCATCTACTCTGTGCTCTAAGTCCACAAGAATAACTGGCTAGTTCTTAAATAGTTAACATTGCAAGTGCCTAAGACAAGGTCCACAGATACATTATTTTTGGGAAATCTTTTCCATTTATACTTCAACCTATTTTCACAGAGCAAGGGATATTACTTTTTGCAGGGGATTGCTTCTGCACGTTTAATTGCTGCAGCTTTCACACAAGCAATGCTGTGAGAACACGTGTCAGGGAAAGGCAGCTTCCAGCCATGACAGAACCTGTAAGAATGTCCCATCTCAGGCAGTGGTAACTCCTCCACTAGAGAAATACTCTTAACTCATCAGTGCTACTAGCCCAGGCATCATCTACTCTGGAGTTTATATTCAGTGTGGAATTTGCCAGTTGTGTAAGTAACTAGTTAGCCTTTTACCTGCAAGTACAGAGAGTGTATTTCCAACATTTACGTTTCCACAGGTGTTTTTTCCACCCTGGGGCACTAGAAATGACAGGTATTCAAGAATTATAAAAAATTCACACAGGTACCTTCTGCATATGAAAAAACATGCAGCTGAAATAAAAGCTTATTTGAGTATTACTTATTTTTATCCCTTTTCCTAGGTGGGTACATAAACATTTGTAGTCTAACAACCACTGTAATGGACACAACTCACTTTCCCTCCTTCACCTAATGATAAAGCCTATTATTCAGTGAGTTCACAACTATGCAGCATCTGAAATTTAAAAACTCCATTAAGCTGAGCATGTTCTGATCTCACTGTAATTAATAGCTCAAGTTGTTAATAACTGTGTAGTTGGAAGTACAGTTAACAAAGTAAGTCCAATGTATTTCATTCTAGACTCCTTTCCCAAATAAAATAAGCAGCAATTACTTCAATACCAGATTAAGATACACTTAGTTCAAAGTTAAGGATAATATAAATGAATTATCAAAGCAGCTAAAACTATACAGTAGTTGGTATCTACAAGACAACTGGCTGCAGTAGTAACCTCAAGCTGAATCCCCTTGGTTTTCCTACTGTAGAACTAATCAGTGGCTGTCCCACCTACCTAAAGGACTGCTGAGAAACTTCCAAGAGGTTTAGACAGTACCAGACAAGCACTAAGTGTGCCAGCTAGCACATCACCTGAAAGAACATGGACCTGTCATGTGTTCAGTGTACTGAAAACAACAAGAAAAAGTTCATTTATATATAATTTATTTCATTATTTCAGTTTTAGTTCAATTGAACATCAGAAGAGACAACTTTTTACTTTGTGATGACACAGGGAATTTCTGAAATGCTGTATTTCCATATTCTGCAATGTTTGAAAAAACAGATTATGGTTTCAACCATGATTGCATAATTTGTCAGTGAAGAGGCCGCAGTTAGGAACTCAGCCTGGTACTTTAGTATAGATTATATTTTCAGACATGCATTTCACTTAAAATCATATTAAAAAATACACTTTTAGAATAAAACATGATTTTAATTCATGTTATAGATGTCATAATGCTGTGACTAGGTAGCTAGAGACATCACTTAGTACATTATTTCTGAAGATCTCATTCCACTAAGAGTTCACAATCTTAGATTTTAAACTAGGTATAGATCACCCAAGTCTTGTCTCTACACAAAATATATTATCTGAAATTTAAAGTATAATATATACATAGGTTCCAATACAAATGTTGGAGGAATTTTCATACAAATATAAGTGATGTAGTGGACAATTTTTAAACTAACGTATCCTTATCTCAACCAGGTATTTACTCATTTTATTCTGTTTCCCTAGGAAATATTTTGTTGTCCATTACATCACAATTTTTAAAAAAGTTGATTGAGAACAATTGAACTACATTATGATGTTAAGTTTTAGACGTATTTCTTGATTTCATCATAAAGTACTAATACAAAAGCTCCGCCCATGCCTCTCAACACATTCGACCAGGCACCTTTGAAGAATGCTTTGCCTCCTTCATCTTTAGCTATCTTCTTCCAGCAATCAATTGTGCCCTTGTACATGATATCAGCTGTGGAAATAGACAAAGGTCAGAAGGCTTGAAGTTATATGGAAGTTGAAACAGACGTGCTGTATATTTAAAACAAGCAATAAGCCAAGCATAGCATTTAAAATTAAGTAGTCAATTAGTGAAAAGCAATTTTAATTCTCCACACTGAAAAACAAATCACTTCTCAGCCTCTTACGTAAACGTGATAGAAATATCTGGCAATATGTTTCCCATAGCTTTTTTTTTTTTTAAGGACTCCAGTTAGATAAATTAGTTTTCCATAAGATAAAAATATCCAGCATCTCCCATCACATCTCAATGGAGATGGTACTTTCTGCTGCCAGAACACCATAGCAGTACTTATTCTTACCTCCCTTTCGGCCAGACTGCATCATCATCCTACGTCGCACAGTATCAAAAGGGTAAGAAACCAGCCCTGCTACAGCAGTGACACTCTGGGCAATCATCCAGCTCACTACGATGTGCACATTCTTTGGATCAGGCAACATACCTGTCATCAAGAACAAATGAGCAGAGTCAGTACAAAGGGAAAGGTTTAAGGGACAGATGGCCGTGGAAGGCACAGTCACCCACAGACCCCAGGAATTACACAATCAACACAGCTTAATCAAGCCTGCAACTCTCCCTTCATCCATCTTTGACTTAACAAGTACTAGGAGTGAAACAATCTTATAGGACTGTTGGATTTCGGAATCTAAGCCCTCTTCATGCTCCCTGACAGACATGCTCTCTTCCTGCAGAACACTCCCAGCCCTGTCTCACGAGCTGCAATGCATAACAAGCTACCATACAAGTCCATCTGAAGAAGCCTTAAGACAGAGGAAGAAACTGAGCAGTGTCTGAAAACACCCTTGCAAACCCAAGGCTTCAGAGCAGCAAACTGAGGGAGGCACGAATGCATTTCAGAAACACCTGTGCATATTCTAGCACTAGCACCCTGAACTGGTGCTGAACCCAGTCCTGCTTGTCCTTGTACTGCCAAGTGCCTTTACTGGATGGATCTTCCCTTGTGGTTACTTCTCCGTGCACTTCTTACCCTTGGCTGTGTCATAAACCCCAAAATATGCTGCTCTGTAGATGATGATGCCCTGAACAGACACACTGAATCCTTGGTACAGGCCCTTCAAGCCATCAGACTTGAAGATCTTGACTATGCAGTCGCCCAGCCCAGTGAACTCTCTCTCAGTAGCTCCTTTGCCCACATCAGCCGCCAGCCGGGTCCTGGCGAAATCCAGGGGGTAGACGAAGCAGAGGGAGGTGGCACCGGCGGCGCCCCCGGACGCCAGGTTTCCCGCGAAGTAGCGCCAGAACTGCTTGTGCCTGTCCACTCCCCCAAGGAAGATCTGCTTGTACTTGTCCTTGAAGGCGAAGTTGAGGGCCTGGGTGGGGAAGTACCGGATGACGTTGGCCAGGTTGCCCCTCCAGAAGGAGAGGACGCCTTGCTCCTTGGGGATGCGGACTATGCAATCCATGATGCCCTTGTACTGCTTATCGGCCGTGATCTGTTTGCTGGCATGTTGGACCTGCGGAGAGGAGAAGCAGGGCGGGTGGGAGGGTAGAGAGCGGGGCAC